CTAGGTTTCACTGACATTCATTTCTTTTTTTTTTTTTATTTTGGCATATTATGGGGGTACAGATTTTAAGGTTTCAATAAATGCCCATTTCCCCCCTCCCCCCAAAAGTCTGAGTCTCCATCATGACCATCCCCCAGATGGTGCACATCTCACTCATTATGTATGTATATACCCGCCCCCCGCCCCCCTCCCACCTGCCCAATACCCTATTACTGTAGTACCTATGTGTCCACTTAGGTGCTACTCAGTTAATACCAGTTTGCTGGAGAATATATCTGGTGCCTGTTTTTCCATTCTTGGGATACTTCACTTAGTAGTATGGGTTCCAGCTCTAACCAGGAAAATATAAGATGTGCTATATCACCGTTGTTTCTTAGAGCTGAATAGTACTCCATGGTATACATATACCACATTTTATTAATCCATTCTTGGATTGATGGGCGACATTCATTTCTTGTGTGACAAAAACAGTCCACGGGGTGACTTATTTGGGGCACACACCAACAGGGGTAGACCCTGGGCCCCACAGCTCCCAGAGTTAGGCAGCTCAGTGAAAGTGAGTATTTCTGTGCCCCTAAAGAGTACAGATGAGTAATCACATGGTCATGAAAGAAATGTTTCAAAGTTATGCTACAGATCAGGTAGAAAGGGACTCCTTTCCTTAGAGATGAAGGGAGACATTATTGTTCCTCCCATGTGCTAGGACTACTACAATCCCTGAGGGTCATCCTTTCTCCCAGTGTGGTCCTCAGATCATCTGCATCAGAAACACCTGGAGGTGGCTATTAAGTATTGACATATAAAATCCTAGGCTTTGCCTCACCTTGGTAAATTAGAATTTCTTAGCTTGGAACCTGAGAATCTGCATTCTAACCAGCTTCTCCAATCAATTTTTAGGTAATTGGTAGGCTGGACTGTCTCCATTCAGCACAGTTCAGCCTTTTGCTCCTCAAAGTGTGACTTGCTGGAAAACCAGAATCTAGGCCTCACCCCAGACTTCCTGAATCAGAATATTCATTAATAAAAATGCCACTGATTCACCATACACCTTCAAACATGAGAATTACTGCTCTGGATCTTATTTCCCAAACTTTAGTTATTTGTACACAGTATTTTTTAAATCTGCCATAACTATGTTTACTTAATTTTTTCTAAAAAAATAGATTTACTTTAACTGTTAATTTAGCCTATCTTAAGCAAAAATGTCCATAGCATTATGAATTTGGTGTGCTAGTTTACTTTTTATAGCACATTAAAAATATATTCATAATTATTAAAATAAAAGTGCTTTCCTGCCTACACAGAGTCATCTCAAACCACACATTGTACAAGGGTACTTCGGGGTGATGCTGACATTGAATGTCAGAATTTCACAACACCCAAAGAGTTTTCCAACCCCTGTTCATATCATGGATGAGAATAGTAAGAATTTGGGAAAAGAACTGTGTAGTGAAAGTTAACACATCTATTATGACAGGACCAAGACCCAAACCACAAAAGCATTTCTCTGCTGGGCACTTATTCCTTTGTAGATCTCTTCTCTAGGCTGGGAGAAATGCCATTTGCTCCTTCTGTTTGAAAGATCTAATGTTGCTGAACAAGCTGTCATCAATGTTTTTACTCCTGTTCAATTAGGTAATTCTTCTGTTTTTCCTTTCTGTAGTAGATTGCTATCATTTGGCAGCTGGCCACACATTTGAAAACTCTCACCACATATCGATAATTTCCGACCTCATCAGCATGCACCTTCCCAAAGCAGAATCCAGAAAACTCTTGCAGGGTTGAAGCATGTCACTTGTGCTGGCCAATCATACGTGCCAAAAGAGAATCGGATTGGAGGTGTATGAAGGCCACTGCCAGGAAATCCATATTATAAGGCCTTTGGATTGGGGCAGCGGTAGTTTCTGTCATGTGGTCCTAAATGTGACAGGTGCTGAGCTGTGATGGCAGCAGAGCTTTAGCATGAGGAAGTTCCATGGTGTTGCTGCAGATTGTTTCTGGCTGTAAAGCTTTAGATTCCTTCTGTTGGACACTCCTGCATTTCCCTACAAGCTACCCAGTCTCCCTTAAGAAATTCCTTTTTGAATTAAACTAGTCAAAGTAGATTCTAATTGGAACTAACAACTTTAACCAATACATCTTCTTAATAGCATGCTCTTCTAGAGACATTCCTAATGCAATCTGAATGTCAGTTTCCTCACCTAAACAACGAAGCTGTTGAAACCAAAGTCGTCTGAGAAGTCTTCCAGCAATAAAATTGCATGACTAATTATGGCTCACAACTATTTTCATCCTGGCTTTATATAATTTCTGAAGCCTTGTTAGGTTAGTCTTCATTATTAATTTATCAAAAATTAAATTTTAAGCACTAAGCATTTTACAATAATTATTTTGAGTTAGAAATGTCTCTGCCACTTAAGAGCTTTGAATTTTTCAAGCCCAGAGCTATTAATACATGGCAGAAGGGATATTATTTGTGGGCACAATTACTCATTTGGTAAGAATTCTCATAAAACAGTTCCACAATATAAAGAAATCATCCTATCATGCACAGCTTACACATATGCTTCAAATTGAGTATTTCATTTTTAAGACAGACTTTGTTTTCCTCAATAACTATAAAATTATCACTTATTTTAAATTTCAAATTGAATGTGCCCATAATAAAAAAAAACAAAAACAAACTAGAACTAATTTTACTGCCAAGTATATCTACCATTTTGTCATGCCTTTTCCGAATGTACTGGGAGAATATTATTTTGCCTCTGTGTGCTATGATAATTGTGTAATGAAAGCCTTCCAGTTATTACAAATGCTCTTACCCCCAAATGATTTTCTAAATGATGTGTGGGAATGGTAATCTTTAAGGGATAATTATATGAATTATAGTCGTTCCAATCAGGCATCAAAAGGAGAAGTAAGCAAGTATATTTCTTCAATACTTTATAAGAGTTAAAGATATGAGAAAGGAAGATGAAGAATTAAACTCTGGAAAACTAATATTCAGGAAGCTGGTGAAGGAAAGTGAGTCAGAAAAACATAGTGAGAAAGAGCGACAGTAGTGATAAAAATGGAGGTGGAAAAAGGACAGTCAAGGAAAGAATTTCAACTTTGCTTTTAAATAGTAAAACAATAAGAATGTGGCTTAAAAGTCTCTACCTCCCAGTTGTGTTTCTTCCTCGCACCCCCAGCTTCTTAAGGCAAAACAGGGTTTGTGGAGAGAAGTCCAAATTCTCTATAACCATCCCATCTCAGGATGATTGGATGATAACTTCCACGTGGGAAAAAAAAGATGGCAGGGCTGTGATTCTTATGATTAAGTTCGAGAAAAAAACTGGGTGCGGCTCTCTGCAATATACTGAACCTTCAAAAGTTCAGGTGATTGCAATTCTGGAAACGTTTACAAATAACTCACTAAATCTCATTGGGTGGGTGTTTTGCTAATGAGGCTTCTAATTTTTAGAGGCATAACGTAAATGTATGTTAAATACAAGTCCTTAAAAATAATCTTATTAAGTTGGAGAATCTTTTCTGTTGTTGTTGGAGACCTAGAAACAACAGAATATGAGGACTAACAGGAGTAACGACAGAAGAGATACAGTTTTTTCCAGCACCTACAAAATGCCAGGCCCAGGGCTGAGTGTTTATATATTTTATTTTGTTTGAGCCTCTCAACAGCTCTGAGTACAGAAATCCTATCTTTATTTTACAGATGAGGAAACTGAGACTCAGTGCAGCTAAATAAATAGTAAATGGCAAAGAGGAAATTCAAACTCATGTTTGTTTGGCTGAATGGTCCCTTACCCAGTGAGCATCAACACTACAGTGTCCCCAATAGCGGTAACAGAACGGCTAAAATAGAGCAGACCCTAGTTTTGAATTTCTATTTGTCCCAAGCATTAATTTACTCCCTGTATTTAAAATTCATAGTCTTTCAATGGCTTTTATGCTTCTGCTGGCTGGTAGAAGAGGAGCTTTGAAAAGGTCTATAGAATACATTCATGCATCTTAAACTGGGAGGGTGCTCAGCTTTAGATGGCTCAGTCTTCTCACTCTTCAGCTGCTTCTTGGTTTTAGCACCTTTGGGGGCTTGCAGAGCAGCCAGAGCTCTGGGAGGCACTAAAATATTAACTCCTCATCAAGCAAGTGACATACATGAGAAAGTATGACTTCCATAGGATAGCCACTAGTTTTAAATGCTTATTTTAAATTGATGTATGTAGACAGTCTTAAAATATAGGTTAAGGTTTTAGATAATCTTGGACATACTGAAAGATCAAAAAGTTGAAATGAGCTGAACATAACTTTATCAAAAAATACTAGCTAAAATTATAGTTTCTTGTCTTGAAAGGTGACGTTTCCGTGATTTTTATAAGTTGCAAAGCTTTTACGTGTTATATTACAAAAAAAAAATAATGCTTACACAGAGCTTATGAGATCCAACATTGCCAAAGACCTTGTATGACAGAAAACCTGGGTTGGAGCCCTACCTCCATCTTACTGGCCTTCTGAGCTTGTCAAGGTTATTTAACCTCTTTGAGTCCTGGTTTCCTCAGGTATAAAGGAATAAACATAATGAGGCCGTGAAGGGTTACATGAGATAAACTCTTCACACAGCACTTAACAGAGAGCCTCATGTGGTTCATGGTCATGAGGAGGATTTGAATTATTTTCTGAAGATGTGAGAGGACTATATTTTCACTCATAGTATGTGCAAAAGTCCAATGTTATCTATAGATATTCATGATAATAATTAATATTTGTTGAACACTTATTATTATATGCCAGGAAGAATTATAAAAGAAATGGTTTTACTAGGTTTTAAGTTATTCAAGTCATTATTAAGAAATTATATTCTCTTCTCCAGCAGAGAAACGATACTTTGCTCAAAAATCTTCAGTAATCTACAAACATTGTTTGCTTTCCCCATGGGCCTCACCCACTAATGAGGTCCCTGTACAGTAGAGTAGGGGTCTTTTCATGTTCAGGAAGTGACTGACCTTAGTGGCAGGGGCTGTTCTACCAGCATAGGTTCTGGAGGGTTGACTGGTCCCAAGGCTTGCTGCTTTTTTCTTGAAAATAGAAAATATTAGTTTCAATGGGGGAAAAACATTGTAACAATGTAGTCAAATAGAACTTTCCATATCAACACAAATATCTTCTCAATCAAAAAATTAGACTAATACACTAAACATATCCAAAGTAAACATATGTTTTTAATTTTTCATAACTTTGCCTGGAGATCATATAAATATTGAAAAGGAAGAGTAAGTTGAATAAGTCTCAGTTGTTCAGTATTCAATGATTTTGGAGAACTGTAAAAATCCTCACACAGGCAGTTGTTGTCCCACCATAATGAACACCCAGAAACGTCACTTACTTAGGAGTAGTTGCTTTCTCTCTTATAGTGCTCTACGGAGCTTATGTGCTCTGTACAACCTCAACATAACCGTACAACCTCTATCTAGGGTGATTTCACAATATATATCAAAGGCACAATTCTATTTGTAAAAATTTATCCTAGGGAAACAAGAAGAGAAGAGCAAAAGGCTTTTTCTTCAAACATATTCATCACAGTATTATAACATCAAAAAGCTGAAAACAATTTATATATAATAATGAATGTTTAGTGAGTATTTATGATATGCCAGGTAATTATTCTATTAGAAGAATATAATTATAGAGAGTAAAATATGATACTCTAATAATAAAGTCTATTAGAACATTATTCTGAGTGCTCTGTTTTAAATACCATGTGTAACAACTTATTTAATCTTCACATTAACTAATATAAAGCTGGCACTATTGTTATTGCCATTTTATGGGTGAGGAGATCAAGGTACAGAATGAATAAATTACTTGTCAATTACTCATTTTTTACAAAATGTTAATAGTACAGGGCAGGATGTCTGCTTCAGACTCTATTCTCTTAGCTACCTATACTGACTCCCATAATAGGGTGTTATGCTATGGTACAATTACAGGTGAAATATCATGTGGCTATTAAAAATCACAATCACATTTCATTAAATAAAAATATGTTATTCATATTTTATATAAAGAAAAGTCAGATTATGGAATAGGATGTAGAGTATGATCCCTGAAGTTCACATGGGATTATTTTCTGATGGTGTAAAGGGTAATTAAAAAAAATTAATCTTGGGCTTTTTTGTATTGCCTTATATATAACCATTTTAACTGAGAAAATTAAAATGAGAAGAGAACGGAAAGGTAAAATACACAGTTGCTTTCTCAATAAGACCTTTATATACTATACCTCTGACTTCTGGATATCTAGATTACAAAAAAACAAGCATATAAATTATAAAGCTTTATAATATAAAATGCTGGTATTATGCTCCAAGGTCTATCAAAGGTGAATAATGTACTATAAACATTGAATACACAAGGGATTATAATGCATTAATTAGCTGGTATATAGCACATTAAAGTGCTCTATGTCTATGTAGTACACATTTTTTTATATGTATAATTGAGAATAATTTGGTTTAATTCTTTGACATTTAGAAGAAATATTTAAGCCAAATTTATATTGTTCAATTCATTGAAAATGTCTGTTTTGGAAATTTGAGCTGAAGTATTTCCCTTCAGGGTAAATAATGCCTTAGCATGACGAAAAAAAAATCACAAGTTAGCTTGCTGTCCTCAAAGCACAATCTCTATGTGTCTACTGGTTGACTACCCTCAGAGTATTTCATGCAAATCACCAGAGGGGACATATGTTTATAAAATGGTATCTAGGGAGCTTCTGAAGCATTTGCAGGAGTTCTAGCTCCCAGGCATCATTTGTAGAATAAACGGTCTCTCCCAAGCATACATGCACTACTATCAACCAATGGAAGAAAAAAAATCCTAGATAAGTGTAAGAGAAACAAAAGAGGCTGCCAAAAAGGCAGTAATATGGGTGTGATATATGAGATGGAGAGGGGGGGAAATGGCCTATATTTTATCCAGATTGCAAGTCTTTTTCAAATTATGATGTATAATAACAAATAGCTTCTGATAACCATAATGTACAAATGGATTCAGTGTAAAAGACTGGGCACAAGACATAAAGAAAGCAATACAGCAGTAGGGGTATCCATTTCAACTTCATTATTCATTGCACCCTCCCCATTGTCTGGTGAGGAAACTGAGGGAGGATAGGCCATTGTGCAACATGGCACAGCTGCCCAGAACTCTAGCTATTAGCCATTGGTCTCAGTTCCAACTGAGGAAGGCCACATTCCAATCCTGGGCTGGCTACAGATTCCATTCACTACATCAAAGCCCACACACTGCAGCCCAGCCCACCTGTAGAGTCTGTAAATGAATTCTACTACTTACCATATATCAACTAGAATTTGCCCATGAGAATAAAAATAACTTACTTTAGGGCTATGATGAAACTATTAAGTTAAAAATATTAATAATAACTGTCTGAACTTAATACAAATGCTAATTTTTATTTGAGCTCTACACCAACTCAAGGTTCACTTAAAAAAATGACTTACTAATAAATTCAATGTCTTTTAACTCAACTGAGGATCCCTCAACTTTCCTGTGGGTACGATCTGTTACACCAAAGACTGGCTTGCCCTCAGAGCTGCCTGGATTACTTACTCTATAAAGGACAAATTTAGTTCGGCTGAAATGACAGTGGAGTTTGTAAAAATAAACTTTCATTAAATTTTGCTCTCACAAATATTTACCAAGCCCTTTGTCAATGTCAGGCACTTAAAAGACAAATACGAAGGGGGGAATGGGCATTTATTGAAACCTTAAAATCTGTACTCCCATAATATGCCGAAATAAAAATAAATAAATAAATAAAAAATAATAAAATAAAATAAAGTGCTGTAAAACGATCTGCACAATGAGGAAAAAAAAAAAGACAAATACGAAAGCTTAAAAATGCATGCATATATATAGCATAGGCTCTTTATTTGCAGGTTAGTAACCAGAGTTTAATTACAAATTGCTGTGGTTGATGTATAAGACCTTGCTTCCTTTCTTCATTTGTTTCTGACTTCATGTAACCATTTTGTTCCTTCATTCAGTGGACAAACCATGAGCCTGGTCCTATTCTAGGCAATGGGGATATAATGACCAATTAAACAGGAAAAGCGCCTGCTCTCATAGCGCTTACATTCCAGTAGGAGGACTCAGCCTCTAAATAAGTCAACAAAAACAAGATGATTTCAGAGAACAAGATGACTGCAGAGCGATGAGTGCTGAACAGACTGTAAAACAGGGTGATGTAACAGAGAGTGACTGGCTGAGGGTTGCTTCAGACAGGATGGATGAAGTGAAATTTGACGGAGACCTGACTGTCGTGAAGAAAGCAATCGTGTAATTCTGGGATGGGGAGAGGGGAGGCATTCTAGGTGGACAGAGCAGCACATGCAAAGGCCCTGAGGTGGGAATGGGCTTGGCAAGTAGAAGGATCAGAAAGAAACGAAAGCCTGGTAGGTACAGGCACATATACTAAGAGATGAAATAAGACGTAGGACCAAGATACTTCATCTGAAGTGATATGCATTCAGGATGGCCCTACAGTCAGATGTGTTTGGGAACGTCAATTTCTGCCAGACTCTGTTCTTCTTGGAGTACCAGCTAACCCCCATGAGCCCTCCCTTGCTCACAGGTACAAAGTTCTCAAGGTCCTCTGGCTTCATGTCACCTTGTACGTAGTTTTGTAGGAGCCTTCTTCACCCCTACATCCTTTACAATGAGCATCAGTCCTTAGAAATCTCACCCTGGCCTGTATACATCTCTCACCTGGCCAGATCTGCATACTTACTAACTAGTGATAGGGCTGGACCTACCCTCAGACAGAAGGAGAAACTCTCAAAACAAGCTCATTTGTGTATGATTTTACATTTTTCCTAACGGCAGATATGTGCTAATCTCTAAAATAAAAGATTAAGATGTTAGATGAGAATGCTAATCCCATGATAAATTCAAGTTTTGAGTTCAATTACTTTCCTTTAGTTCCATAAATCCATAGACTAAAGACCAATGAGCAGATTTTTCCTTGCCAACAAGTCACATTCCATCCAGTATTTAAGTACACCTCTGTGTTTAATTCAAGTTTTACAGGAAGCAAACTATTAGGAACATCCTGCCCTTTGTCCTTTTTCTGCTGTCAGGTCTGGCTGAGTCATTCACTCCTTGCAATTCAGCATGTCACAGTCCTAACCATTGACAGGAACAGAAGTGTAATTACACTCTACGCCCTATTTACTTCTACTGGACCCAAACTCTGGGACACCAAGTCTGGCCCATTTACAGAGAACATGTGTGGCCCCTCCTGCTCACGACAAAGAGTCCTGACTTCAAGCAAGAGCAGTCCTATTTCCACAGACTAAGAATCTACCTTCTCTACTCAGAGTCTACTGGAACTGGCTTCCTGACTTTCAGAAGCATTTCACACTTTGCCATCCAAGAGACCAGCAAAAGAAGACACCTCATGTTTAAACAGAGAAACACAATAAAAAAAAAAAATGCACAGATTAGATGGATTGTGTCAGCTGCTGCAGGCAGGCATGAACAGAATTAATTGCATACCTTTTTTGTGTATCTATTATCGTTCACAATAAAAATTTTTGTACTAAATAATTCAGAACTCAAGTCTTAAAAATTGTTTTCAAAATTTCAATGAAGTTCCAAGAGCCAGGCAAAGAGTTGCTGTGTCACTGTCACCTAAAATCTCAGGAAAGTCCCCAAGTAAAGCCACATGTTGACCTGAGACTTGGTGACTCTGCAAAGAAAGATGCCATATTCTCAGGATAATGGTCTTACTCTTTGATTTATGTAGCAAAAACATCCTGGTTCACCAAATGCCAACTATGAGAACTTGGGCAAGTTTGTGAACATTTCTAAACATCGATTTTCTCAACTGAGTAATGTGAATAACACTCTTCAAATCTCAGAGCGTGATTTTGAGGATTAAATGAGATGAGATGTGTGCTGGGGTCTGTGGCCCACAAGTCGGAAATCCCTGCTCTAAAGAGAGAGGCCCAAAGTCCTTGAGCAGGTAGTAATGGGACAGACTGGCCTCCACAGGGCC